GGTATGCGCACGCGGATGCAATTATTCAGAAACTCGATGGTAGGGATTCGAATCTTACGTGTCTGGGGGCCTCGGGCAATGATATAGTTAAGTTTGTCCTGCCACTCATGAGTAAGTCTATATATAAATTTTTATCTGTTGGACGTCGAATATAGGCCTACTGTATATATTAATATAGGCCTATAGCGCTATTGTGAATGGTGTATAGGCCTTATCGCCGGGGAGGGGAAGATGTTTATTAGATCAGGTAATTATTGCTTGGTTAAGTAAAGCATTAATTGAATAGGCCGATAATGCCAATTGATTTAATTAATATTACGTCATTCAGGTCCATATAATTACAATAGGTCTATGCCCAGGCCTATATGTTTATAATAGTCTGATGATAGTGATGATGATGATAGTAAATCAATCATTCATATCGTTACTTTAGATATGTAAATTGACGATTGATTGACAGATGGATGGTACCGTATTTAACTTAGGAAATACAGTAACAATGGTTTAAATAATGTAGTAGTAACGCATGTTGCAGGAATAATTGATACAAATAAAGGAATCAAAAATGCAAATGAAGATAATGAAAAAAATATGAATGTGAAGCCATGGATTAGATGTAGACTTGCGTAACACCATGGAGTAATGGCAAATACAGCTGTATTTGGACATCGTCATCGAATTGATGGGATAAAAAATTCATCCATGATGCCCATCAGGGCTAAAGGTCCTTGGGCTGTGGCCCTGGCTATGGTAGGGGGTTTGCTTATGGACTAATTCCTCCATGGTTTATGCATGGGGAAATGAAACACACTTCGTTGTTTATTGTGATAATGCATTCAAGTTCCGTAAAAATTAGCTAATAAACATTAATTACTGAATAATGCATATGAGGTTGCAAGACAAAGGCCATCAGCTATGAGAAAACCAATTTAGTAGTCTAAAGATAACCAGGTATATTTCACTATCTTAGCTCCATAGTCCGTAATTAATACGATGTGTAATAAACAAGTGAGCGAAGTGGTTCTCTAATTAAAGGAATGTATGTATCATTTTTACTTCTTTATACAATTTTTATCGTAGATTATTTTATGATTTTTAGGGTATTAATTTAGGCCGGAATCTCCCTTACATTAGGCATAGGCCTATTGATGAAGGTACAGACTATACAATTTAAACTGAATTAGTCCTACAATTTGTCATAGTAAAAAAAAAACATTTTTCATATGAAACTGTGTAGGTACAGTAGTTTGAAGCAAAGGTAAACGTCATATTCCATATCTAAAACTACACCTTTTTTAAAAAAAATAAGTACCAGTAAAATTTTACCCAGGCTCAGTGTTCTTATTTTTTGGCTGATTTCAGACTCAAAATGTTCTTATTTTGTTCTTATTTTACACAATTTTCAAACACAGAAAATTATATTGAACAGTAGTATACCACTACTGTAGATAAAAATGGCCCCTGAAAAAATGGCCCCAGAAAAAAGAACCGGTAAAAATGGCCCCAAATTACAGTTACACCTACTGTACTGTATTATAGAGGGCATTGCATAGTCATAACTATTGCACATACAGTAAGGTACAGATATATTTTTTCTACTTAAAACAATAATTTAAAAACCTCATTTGACATTTTACCTCAGCCTCAATTTGTTCTTATTTGTTCTTAACTTTTAAGCAGTTACAGCCTCAGTGTTCTTATAAAAAAAAAAGTGTAGTTCGATAGGTCCTACTGTATATGCTCGAGTTGGGCGCGTGTTCACGCGTGGACAATCTCATCACGCGAACTGCGGCACATTCCAGGTAAAAACACAGAGGGTCGATGATCATATACACCTGGAATTCGCTTAAAACCACTCTAACCCAAGTCACACGCTCTGCTTGACCTCTCGGCCACGCCTGTAAGAGAGTCAACAAACTGACCAATGCTTTGAAGAGGAATAACTCGTAATTGCCGAATATTCCCTCAACGGAGGATTTATTTACAATACCATCCCCACGATCCATACACAGCGGCACCGTTTTAACTCCACGAACCACAAATAAATTACAGTTCAGTTTAAAGATACACTGCCACCCTAAAAAATCAATACAAATATAAATTTAATCTATTCAATTTTAATTTAAAATTTTCATATTTGTATTTGATTTAGATACTGTATACTGTATTCTTTAAACGAATTACATAAACGATACTTATCATTTGTACTGGTATCCGGTTTCGATTAATGACAGGTCTATAATATCAACTGATAATTTCATATAAGCTAAAACATCAATTGCGTAAATCAGGAAAATTGCAATTGCTATATTATGTACGCGAGTACCGTAGCTTTCGTGCATACGCTACAGCAGCGGTAGTTGGATATCGTTACCGGATAACCCCCATTACGATTTATTTGCTATCGGATATCATTCGAATCTTGAATGTAGGGTAGCCTACCAGTTTAACGAATAACTTCTACTGTATTTGTAATCGATTGATCGACATTTCTAATGTAGTCCAAAATAAAGAATAAGAAAGCACCGAACCGACTTTAATTAGCCTATCATTAGTAGCAGTGGCGTATCTAAGCGTGTTGAAATGGTGGGGGGGGGGGAGTGTGGCGCGAATGTGAAGTGGGGCATCGATGATTAGGTGAGGGGTACTAGCTCGTAGAATAAAGATTTTAAGTACTTGAGCGTGATTTTTTTGAGCGACTGGAGAGGGCGAGAGTATTTAAGGGTCGTGTGCTCCACCTGCTTATCTAGTTTTTTTTTTATAATATAATATTCAGTCACCGTTGTTATTACATTGTTGTCTCAGGTATAGTCTATGGTGTATAATAGAATGGGAGTGCACTAAAACAAATCTTAAAGAGATTTCACCCCTTTCGAAGGGTAGGCTCCTTCTTAGAAAAGCCACTGGGGATGGAGAAATGAAGCTTGTGTAACGAACCAGGAAGCTACGCAGCCCAGAAGAACACAATATAAGCGCATCACCACGGAATCAGTTATTGAATTACAGATATTTTATGTTTTCATTTATTAGTTGTAACAACACAAGACGGGGAGTAAATAACACATACAATCACACCTAAACAAACACACATTTATATTTTCAATTACAGAGAATCACGGATTGTTAAAGAAACTAAATGGACATAATAAAACAAGTCAGTTAGGAGCTGTTGGCGCGGTGATTGTTTCTTGCTGTCAAAATTCCTGACTTAACAAAGCGAGTAACAGAAACGTCGAATCAACTGGTCAGGTGCAGCGAACCGTAATGGAAGAAACTACCGACCAACCATCAAAGAAAACCGATCACGCTTTAATTTTCAAAGTTTAGTTTGTGTAATGGAAATTTAATTTGTATATATTAATTTATTTATCTACAAAAGTACAGCAACTACTGCTGAATTCCAAACAATTAAAACGCATTCTTGTTCAGCGCTATGATTATAAACTATGAATGAGGTGCAACGCCCTCAGACTTCACATATATTGCAGGTACATAAATAAACTATCATAGTCATACAATACTATGAAATATAAATTTAGAATATTAATATTAACGGGGTTTTTTTTGGTAGTGACCGTACAAATGTCACTTTACGGGATATACTCTCTTGAACTTAGAGTCATGCTAGCTGATGATCAGAAGCAACCGTAACATCAAGAATGGAGGATAATTCCTCCATGCATCTAGCATCACATGATCACTCAAAGGTAACCATGACAACTCTTGTATCAGAAATAGATTCAGCAACATGAGTTGATTGCTGATACAACAGAAGACGACCAATTAATGATTTGACAAGTTTACAGAACATCCATGTTAAATAGTCTGCGGAATGGCGCAAATTCAAATTCTTTATTTATTTAGCAACTAAGTAAACATAGTTGAATTTACAATAAAAAACATCATACAGTATAAATATATATAGAATCAATTCAGAATACAAATTTAAAATGTTTAAAATACGATAAAATTAAAAAAAAAAAAAAATCTCAAAGGTTTACAGAACAAAAAAGAAACTGGCAGAAAAAAAAAAAAAACAGTCAAATTCACGAAAACATACAAGAGATTGCACAACCTGAACATAATAGAAATTCAATATAGCAATTTCATTAGCACTTGTTGTTATTATTATTATTATTATTATTATTATTATTACATTATTATTACATTATTATTATTATTATTATTATTATTATTATTATTATTATTATTAATTGACTGTGATTACATTATATTCATCCTTCTATACCAGCTAAAATGTAAACATCCTCAGCTCTCAGTTCTCAATTGACTGTGATTACATTATATTCATCCTTCTATACCAGCTAAAATGTAAACATCCTCAGCTCTCAGTTCTCAATTGACTGTGATTACATTATATTCATCCTTCTATAATTGCTAAAAATGTAAACATCCACAGCTCTCAATTCTCAATTGACTGTGATTACATTATATTCACCCTTCTATACCTGCTAAAATACAAACATCCTCAGCTCTCAATTGACTATGATTACTTAAAAACTTATATATTCATCCTTCTACACCTACTAAAAACATCCTCAACTCTCAATAGACTGTGATTACATCAGAGCGATTACATCATATTCATCCTTCTATACCTGCTACAATGTAAACATTCTCGGCTCTCAATTCTTGATAGACAGTGACAAAGCTTGTAGTTTCATTCACAAATATATCCGTACTTAATAATCATCCAATCACAGTGGTATTACTACCATAACTGTAATCCTTGTTTTAAAATTGCGATCTCTTGTTGAGAATTTTACATTTTGTTCAATTTAACTATTGACAATGAATGATGATATGCCACATGAAGATTATGAAATTAATATGTGGAATTACTGGTGTTTTACGATTCCTGTTATTTATTGCTTAATCACCAATCAATCATCAGTTTCAGGATTTAAAAGATCCTATGATTTAAAAGATAATCCTCAAAGTCTCAAGGATTACAGAAAAAAAAACATTGGAGACACAAATTGCTTGATATATCAAGGTTCGATCTTTAATTTGTCCTTCGGAAATTATGTTGAGAACATTGAATAAACATTTAATAAAATGTAAGAGATAACAATAATGTATAAAAAGAATTTACAACATTTATAATTAAATGTTGTTTCTACCATTTTATCATATATTGAATAATGAATAATTTCAACTAATTAAAAATATTAGAATACAGCACATAATATATATCTATTTAGAATATTTATTTACGATACCTGTTAGCTAGTAGACAACTACTGTTTTAGATCTCTATGATGCTTAGCGAGTGGAGCCATATTTTTAGAAAAAAAATCCTGGCTTCTTACAGGATTTGAACCTGTACTCCTGGGATCTGAAGGCAAGCACCTCAACCACAATCTATAGTTTCACTTAACCATATGATAGCATTGATCCATGTCAGCGATCAATGGTTAAGGTTCAATAAATGTTCAACACACCTATTACATATCAGCATGCCAAGAACTGCCATGCAATTTAATTACTTTAGTTCTCTTGGGGGCGCTGTTTATAGCTAAGTTACATGAAATCACAATATTAATGTCATCATAAAAAGGGTATCATCTATTTTGTAATTTTTCATTTATTTTCAAATAAATGGAGTGATAGGTTGATAATTCCTTTGCTAACTTCTAACTAAATTTGGAGTAAAACTTAGATGATAGGAGTAGACCTATGCGGGCTTCGTCCGTAGGATATATACATATTGTTAATTTTGTTGTTTAAAAATCCTTCTTTTGATAATTGAATGAATAGTTTTTTAATTACTTCCATAATGATACCAATGATTAAAATAATGTTGATGATGTATGATAAAAATGCTGAGAATGATGATGACAAAGATGATGAAAATGATTTCACCTCAAAAGTTCTTTCATAATTGTCACTGACCTCCCCCTATAACCTGATCCAAAATGGTTCCTGTAAGAACAAAAAATTTTTGAAAAATATAGTAAATGAATACAACAAAACAACAGCTGTCAGATTAACGTCGTTTCTCCTTTTTTTTGTTTGACACAAACAGATAAAGTTACATCCATCAGTGGAAAATAATGCGCGATGAGATTTTGAAAATGATATACAATATCAATCAAAAATGAAAACAATAGAATTTCAATAAAAACTGCCACACTTCATTGGCTTTAACAAGCCAAAGAAATACATCATTAAACAAACAACAAAATACAATTATAAAAGCCAATAACAGAGCACTGCTTTCAATAACAAAGCACTGCCTGCCTGAAAAGTAGAACAGCCATAGACGCCTGTAACGAGATACAAGTGTTTTTTTATGGCAAATTATTGGGAAATATTGAATAGCAAAGCTAGTTATTCTATGGGGATGTATGCATCTGACCATCCTCCATGGTCTGACAGTGTCCTTATTTATATTGAATAGCAAAGCTAGTTATTCTATGGGGATGTATGCATCTGACCATCCTCCATGGTCTCACAGTGTCCTTATTTTAAATTGGAGCGTTGTAATTTTCAAGGATATGTGAACCTTCTATTATTACAATAGAATCACATACAAAAGTGTAATTGAGTCTAGAGTGAAACGTATCAAACCCAAAAAACATTTTCATCATTAATAATTTATAATTATAATAATTTTTATAATTAAAATGATCATTATCATTATTATCTTATTATTATTGTAATTATCATTACTGTAATTATAACCCTCCCTCATCATCAAATATGTGTAGAAATGAACATTACCTTCATCTACAGAGTACATCTAAATTCAGGTGTTTGTATGCACAAGAATGTAGCAAATTTAAACGCTTGTGAAAGTTTCAATAGATTTGTAAACTCTGTATTTAAAGTTACCATGTTTAAATAAATGTTAATATTATTATTCATAAATAATACAGAATACAGAAACTTTATTTGTCCAAAAAAGGAAAATTGTTTTGTTGATAAGCTCAATAAATACAAATACACATAACATCAATATCTTGATTGGTAGTTTTGAGATTCTTACCAATGGTTGAGATAATGGAAAAGCTGGTATAATTTCTGACGTTTATCATGTCCAGGTTGTTTTGGGATCAAGGAATGATACGCATCATAGAATTGTCTGCCAAAGCCGCCAAACATCCCTGCAATCCCAAGCTCGTACTCCGAATGGCCGTAAAAACTAGCAGGATCAAAAATAACTGTCAAAATTGTAAAAGGTAAGTAAGAATAAGATAATTTGCAAATGAATTTGAAATCTGTGGGCACGCAGACTGATAGTGAATTACTGTTACGATCAGAATTATAGAGTGTGACGTCTGGTGATGCTCTTTTAAGGAGCTTCCTATCCATAATCGTAAATTAGATGTACGAGCCTATATTATTGCTAGTGAGGGTGTATCCATGTAGTATGGAGATTATAATATGTTCAAACTTTCAACAGTTGTTAACAGATGAATGTGAGATATATTTATTAGTGTCTGGGGGGTTATTCAAATATGCCCCATAGACAGTTTTTTCATCCAAGCAATGGTCTCTTTAGAAAGACGGTCAGATGGGTCAATCGCTACATGCATTACCAGGCCACCAGGTCAATCACAAGAAAGCAGTCTATATAACAGCACAGATGACTGAACAGGTTTTTATTACAACACAGTACTTTTATAACAATGGTATTTGTCTACACATTTGTGACTTGACATAACATAATAACAATTTAGAAACATGATTGACAATTATAGTATATCAAAATAAACTACAAGTTGTCAAAGTGACAAGATACAGTAAGATCAGTGAGTACAAGCTGGAGTGATACTGTGATTTTGTGACTAACAACATCAAATCATCCTCTCATCTCATCCTGCGATGTATCTTATAAATATTAATAATAATAATAATAATATTATTAATAATATTAATATTAATAATAATACTTTTAATAATAATTAATAGTAATTATTATTATTATTATTAATATTATTATTAATAGTAATAACGATTATGATAATGATAAAAATAAAGACTGTCTCTTATACACATCTAGATGTGTATAAGAGACAGTCCCTTTACTTCACATCTCCTTATGCCTTCTTGCTTATTACTTAAACATTTTCCCTCCTGTAATTTGCAAGTTACCTTACTCCCAGTTGGATTAGTATGAAATGTGTATTTAAAGGCAAAGACTTTTCATCCCAGGGGAACTATTTTATGGAAGTAAAATAAAATCATCTTAATAAGTTGTTTGAATTGTGATATGCAATTTATTTCTAGCAACTGAAATACTATAATGAGAAATGGAAATAGCGATAAGTATTAAAATATGTATGTACAAATAAATCTAGTATGAATGACTATACATAATTAAATGGAGGCATTTAAAAAATATTTGAATTTCATAATGACATCACAAAATTAGTAGATATGAGTAACCCAATAGAATGCTGAAATTACATACTGTATCTACTGTTATTCAGAATGTTGTGGTAAGCTTTACAATAAAGTATTGTAGTGGAGATGCAGCTAGGTGTTAAGATGCTTGCCTATCAATCCCAGGGTTCTAGGTGGCAGCACAGGATTTTTTTCTCAAAAAAATGATGGGGCTTGGGGGGGGGGGGCCCTGTGGCTTTCTGAGAGTGTTGGCCTTTGGGGTCCCTGTCGCCAATTCCATTGTAGGATTTTAGGTGCTCATTTTTTAACTATGTTTGTCATTGCATTCTAAATATTTTTAACGAAAATAAATGATACGAGTAGCGAATCCAGGAATGTTTAATGGGGCCCATACCACCTCAGCCCAACCATGGTTGGGGCTGAGGTAAGACAATTTATGATTATGGCACCTCTAAATGGCCGGAAATGGCATTCACAGACTTAAAAATTTAGGGGGCCCCTTTTAAATCGCCACTGGATATAATATGATATACAGTCGATGTCAGAGAAACATATGCTGTTATTAATCAACAAAATCCTTTTGGGTCAGGGTGCTGGATCGAGGACCATGTGGTTAGGGGCCTCTAGGGGTCGGGGGCACCTACAGGTCCGGGGCCCTGCGGACCGCCCGATGAGAGCGCATAGGCGTTACGCCACTGTATAATAGAGACTTATAAAGTTTCTCATTATTTTCATTCATTTAATAGGGCCCCTGAATATCGGCTTACCTTCTAGGATACAATGGAAGGGTATACAGCATGGTAGTTAACAAATGTATAGATAAAATATTAAAATATGCGTAATAATTCAAGCTTTATTTTTTTAAAGTGAGTGATTTTTGTAATGACAGTTGTTTTTGAATGAAACGACCACTTCAGATAATGTTATATCATTTTTTGGTATTAAAAGAATTATAAAGAGAAATGACAATGAAATTCAAAGCCTTTGATGGAGGAAAGTATGAAATTATGCAACTACAGAGTAGACTAGAATATTTACAGCATGTATTTTTGACAGGTGGTCTTGATAACCTTCACACAAGATCAAAGTCACAGTTATTACAATACTCTTCTTACAAACATCTTGTTTTATTACTTTCACTTCAGAATAGAGATTTGCTTACTGTCTGCACTTATCTGGCCTTGTGTTGGTAGAAATACTAACATCTGCTAAACTTGCCTATTATGGGATAGCCAAGTACATATGTGATTGTAAACGAGACTTGTCAACGAATGGAAATCAGAATTTTTTGTTTTTTGAATGAAACTTCCTACACGATGAATAAGTTTGTACAAATTCAGTGTGGATTTTTATTTATCATTGGAGTTAAGTTGGGTAGAGGTGCATGTACTCTTAAATGATGATATTAACATACAAAGATTGTGTAAACTGCCAAACATACAGAACCTGGATCTGGATAAATAATCAATAAAACTCCGCTAAAGAGCTTCACATAAATTGGGCCAAAAAAACAAGTTGCCATTTAAATAATCTTGCATTTTCGCGCCGCACATTTAGGCTGTAACGATCAAGAGGAAATAGTCATTAAGAAACTTTAGGTAGCGGTAACTTTTACTACGAAGAAATGGGAATTCCGAACTAAGCAATGCGCATGCACAGTTACCAAATAACGTCCGTGAATTATCTATAAAAACACAGTGAGCATGTGCATTGAGTAAGTGACGTTATTGAGCCATGTCGAGCGTGCGCAGTTACAAAAAAGACGTCTTAGGAACCAAATAGCGGCTGCGAAGAGGGTATGAAATAGAAACGGGAAAACTATATGTGTTATGGATGGAAAATAATGAACTTGCGCGGGTTGAAAGCCTCTATTTTTTCAGTGTTCGTCAGGGGGAATTGCACTTAAATTATCGTAAATTACCTGCATACGTAAGTTGAATTGGAAAAGAAATCTTTACAATGCTAGGAGACTTGAAGAAGACCAGAAAAGTTATTGATTTTCAAAGTGATTTCTAATTATTGCTGGTTATCTTTTAATGAAGACAACCTACTAAAGGAAATAGTACTATAACAACAAATAAAAGTCTGAATTTAAAAACTCTTTTATCAAGACAATAATAATAATAAAATTAATAACTATAATTAATAATATGTCAAGTTAGTATTTTCCTGAGTCAGTAACTTTTGTCTCCATTTCCTATACGTACGTAAAGGACACTCACCCTACAGTATACCCTCAATTATTGATATTACCTTGTTAACAACAATATTTTAATCTTCTTAAGATTAAAGACCTAATCGATATTTAGTAAAAACATATTTGGTGTAGTTATTGTAGTGTTGCACCTTCGGGCTGCTTTGTTGTGTTCTTCCCATGTGGAAAATCTGGATTACAAGACAATGAGTGGTTGACAGCGGTGCTTTTGAGTGTGAAAGGTGAATTAGGTCTTAGAACATGGTAGAATACAAGCAACATGTGCTAAGTGCACACAAGGAGAAAATCTGTCAAGACTCGGTTTATGCAAATGAGGTGGATGTACGGACGTGTGAATTTAATGATTAAGAAAGAGGACACTGCACTTGTGGAATTAACAGAATTACAGTTTAATGGCTACTGGTATAATATTATTGTAATAACAAATGCAATTAGAACAAATTATTTACAAATTTGTGTCAAGGAGTAATGTAAATAGGAAAGAAGTGCTGAGAGTGATGATAATCAGTAGGAGGAGATTGAAAATGGTAATGATACAGTGAAGATAATGATGATGATGGTGATGACAATGATGATGATGTAATTATTATGATAGTGATTATAATGATGATGATAGTTATAGTAAAAGTAAGAATACTTTTAAGAACATTAAAATGATGATGATGACAACAATGTAATAATGATAATAATGATGACGGTGGTGATGATTATAAATATTAATAATAATAATAATAATATTATTAATAATATTAATATTAATAATAATACTTTTAATAATAATTAATAGTAATTATTATTATTATTATTAATATTATTATTAATAGTAATAACGATTATGATAATGATAAAAATAAAGATGAATATAATTAAAACATTAAAAAGTACTGTAGAATTATCACAAAAAAAATGTGTTTTTCTTTACAAGCTCAATTTAAACAGATCTCTGGAACAGTAGGGCCACTTATTCATATGACTTTATGACACAAGGCATCATAAATTAGTTTAATTTGGGTATTTAAACAATATAATTTATGGAAAATATGAGTTAAATTGAATTAAAATATGTTGGAATGTAACTTTATTTATTTAGCAAAAAGAAAGAAATTAACTCAGCATAAATCATCATAAAAATGTACACTGACATAAAACAGGAAAAATTATGTTTGGATAGCATAGGCATTTATCATAGATACAGTAAAACATGAATGATTACAGACATTATCTTAGCAATGAAATTTTTACCTTGAACATATTAAGGCAGCTGTACAATATATACAGTAGTTATATTTTTCAAAACTTCAAATGCTTGTGCTTTTATTAATGGTTTCATTTAACATGATATTAGTTGATGGAATTCCTGTTCTTTTTTCCCCTCTGAAATGCTAGGCATAACCAGCTGTTACATCAATCTTATTATAGTATTTTGAAGTAATAAAAAAAACTTTTTCATTCCCCCTATCCATGCAACAAAAAGCTAGCCTCTGTTCTCAAAACAGTTGCTTTTTATACTTGATAAATGGCTACAAAGTATTATTATTCATTCCTTATTTTAAGATTGGTAAAAAATATAAATGATAACATTACAAAAACTCACTCTATATAGTTTAGAACTAAATAAATAGTATAAGACGAAGGAGAAAAATATAAAAATACATGAAAAAGAATTGCATCCAATATTGGTAACATCAACCTAGGCACCAAATTGGAAGTCCATCAGTATACGGAGCACCTGATTCCATATTACAGAGCTCCGTGTTACTGGTAAATCTACAAGTTCTTATGGTGTCTTGGCACTCAGCTGTGTGTGGCTGGGCAAAACTGTAACCTGCTACTTTGCCCGAGTCACCTTAGGAGGGGTCTGGGAATGCGCTAAAGTTGGTGCAGATTGTGACCCCATAGTAAGCTTGCATTCTGTTGTGCCAGAATTTTCTTACAAATTTCTAACATCTTTTTATGTGCATAGAAACTTTTTGCATTATGTGCTATATAAGTAGAACTTACTATTATTATACCCTGTACAGTAATTATTATTAATATTATCATTAAAATGCCAGATATCTTTACTGCCATTATCACTATTATTATTAGATGATATTGCTTTTTTGTTGCATGTTTACTCTAATAGAACCAGGGAATTCTCCTGTTTATGATATTCATGACAGCTTATCAACATCAATTTCAACTTAAACACAAATCATAATTAAATCATAAAAAAACCAATGACATATCAACTTACATATATCCATCCATACAAGAGAAAGACCTTTTACCTAATTATATTAACTAGAGAGAATTAATATTACTAGGTAACAAGATATAACAACTAAAATTACTTTACAGAAATTTCGAAAGGAATATGCTTTTGTGTTTGTGCTTATCTGCCCCGGAGGTGAGGGGATTTGACACCAACAACAGTTGCGTACTGTTAATTAATTTGTAATAATGACATCAGGTTACCTAGTAGAAAGACCAAAAAAATCTACTTATGGTTGCTTAGTAATACAATCTTCATATTGCTTTTGTTTAAAAGCATTTCATTTGCACATTTTAGAAATGCTGAGAGCAAAGATTATGCATGTTCGACTAAATGTGATGAGGTAGCATCTGGGATGTGGGATTAGATCCGGGATAATAGTATTCCAATCTCATTTACATGTTGTTGTAACGTGCTGTTGATTAAATATCCATCCATTTTTTATAAGAGAGTTGGACAACTTAAAAGGAGATATTAAATGCTTGATCGTGATCAGAAAACTAATAAAGTATGCAATTTCTAGCCTATTGATACTTTGCGAATGGATGTTTCAATTGATCATGTGGCAGTTGCTTAGTACATAGTAGTCAATGGGTCCACATATATGGTAAGTGCTGCATTATGGGATAGATTTCAGGATATATACTTTCCAAACAGTTATAGCATTATGCATGGCAGATAATTCAAAGAACCGTTTGAACACCTGAGAGATGTATTCCATATAAGTTGTATTGGGGGTGGGGGAGGGGAACCACTTAGCCCCATTCAAATGTTGACCATAATTATAATAGAGTGAAAAAAAAATTAAAAGAAAGGATTTAAAAAAAAATACAATATGTCTTTAAAATGAATTTAGTTGAACAAGTACAGTAGCTATTTCATATAAAAAAATTTTGCATTACTCATAACATCGTTATAAGACAATAAAACCGTGTTTAAATTGTACTTCATAATTATAATATCACCACTAAAAACGTACCGTAATTTAAAGTGGTATTAAAATCATCTACGTTAACAAGTAATATACGAGGAGAATCAACTGCATGGGAAGAGCTCCTCCAACATCAACTACTCTCATCATATCCTCTCACATAGCATTCTACATCACTTATTAAATATCATGTTTCATGTAACAAGGCCAATGTATGACAATTATCAATCATTTTCTACTTCACTCATAAGTTCATCCGAAAGCAATACAGTTGTATCATGTTCCACTGAGGGATTACATAATAAATTAATATATAATTAATCTCGGGGATAATCACAAGTCATAGTACTTTTGTTATAGTAGAATTTTAAGGCCATCTACAAATGGATCATTAACTAAATTCATATTAGGTAATAATTTTCGCATTAACAACTAAGTGAAAGGTCAAGTTTATTCACTTAGAACTTTACATTAATTTTTATTATTTATACATAAACAGTAATAAACTATAATAGTTAATTACTATATAAATAGTAATGAAATATTATAGTTCATTATAGTTTATTATTATTTATATAATAATGCACTATTATACTTCAACAATCTGCTAATTATGAATGGTATTTATATTGTTCAAACTGCAAATAACAGTAAAACAGATTTGGATAAATTTAAAATATAAATAAATAAATTTATATGTTTGTGTGCACGTAAGTATACTGTATGGTTGTGTGTAAATATAATGTTTATATTTCATATATATATATATATGAGTACAGGAGGATATTGTATCTACACTATGAATTTAAATTCAAGTTTAAATATACAGTACATTGATTGTAGTAAGCATATATTTATGTGTGGGGAGTTAATGCACCAGTAGGGAATACTCTACACATGACATACTGTCAATATACATATTTTAATATGAATTTTCTAAATCAAGCATCAGTTCAAAAGTTATGGTCAAATATAAAGTGTTTTACTGAATACAGCATGGGAATGTATGGTAAATTGGAATAAGGATCACTTATGCTTAGTGACAGGGTCTGCCTTTTCAGTACGTATTAAGGTTAGGCTCACCCAAAATCCTAATTAAATTAGGTAGGCCTGTGAATTGTTTAGGGCCTTGTCTTAGGCCTTTTAATATCATCCACAGTTATACAGTAGATGCTTATGGCAGTAATCCTTTAATCGATCTGTTTTTGTAATGCTTATCCAATTTGACGTAAATTGCCTGAGAGCAAATCTTGTCAATATTCGATTGAGATGACATGTTGAAATGGTACATATTTCCAAAACCAGATTCATCAAGTGACAGATGTGGATGGGGAAGGAATGAGTCTGTAACTCTTCCAAAGATACAGCCCACATAAAAGATGACAAAAACAAAATGGGAGAACTCATAAGGTGAATATAAATGCAATGGATTTCAAATCTCACCTGGTTCAGTATCGGTCTCTTGGGTGTTCCCTGACCAAAGATCACCATGGAGCAATGCTGGTCTCACAGTCATACTTTTGAAGAACTCAGGAATCCTCCTTTCCACTTGTGGCCAGAGGTCTCTAGTTTCTCTGTCATTGTACTCCCTCTCTATCATATCTAGTTGCATTTTTAAACGGTGCTGGGCATAAAATTCCTGGAAAATGTAATTTGGATTTGCAGAATATATTAATCTTTGCGCTGAAATTTGACAAATGATAATAAAAATATATTGTAAATTCTTAATATTTGTGTTATAAACAATGCCATAATACACATTTGATAGGAAAATATATTTCTCCAGCTGATTAATGCATGTACCTGGTGGGTTTTAATGTCAGACCCATGGTACTAACTCAAACTGATTAATCTTAATGTGAAGTGCTTAGTACCCTCTGCAATATGAACTACATAAGACTAAACCTCTGTCCACACTATCAAATTTTCTTTGAAAAAAATCCCTCTTGTATGCCCATATACAGTCATGATGTGCCTATATATGGTCATGATATGCCTATATATGGTCATGATGTGCCTATATATGGTCATGATATGCCTATATATGGTCATGATGTGCCTATATATGGTCATGATATGCCTATATATGGTCATGATGTGCCTATATATGGTCATGATATGATGTTATTTAGGCATGTCACATGTTTTTGTCAAATAACGTTTGATAGTCTGGACAGGGCTTAAGATTATTATTATTAAGATTATATATAATTATTAAGATTATTATAATTAGTATTTACTCACCAACCAATCACTCTTCCATTCATTATTCATAGGTAAGTATCCACAACATGTTGTGATATGAAAACCAAACTGTGATATGGATTTAACAGCCTCTGCTTTCCCAACATAGCCCTGGTTGGCCTCTTGTGTTAGTCGTAGTTCATCATTGTGTAGGTGAAGCCTAGCAATATAGGATTATGGCATTATTAAAAACACCTTAAAAATCAGAGGATGGATCATTTTAAAAGAAAATACAGTAAACTTGGTGTGGAGTTGAATAGCTTGATGAAGATGCTCAGTTTCCAATTCCAGGATCCTGGGTACAAATCCTGTCAGACTCCAGGATTTTTTCTCATGACAAAACAACTCCACTCTATAAGCTTCGGTATGGGACTTCATAGAGCATCATGTGCATACATTTGTCATGTAAAGGGATTTCCCCCATTTAATAGCATAGTGATTAAGTCGCTATTGGTAATGCTTGGCCATTGCATAAAGGATAAAATAAAAATAAATAAAATTAGCGAGATTTAATAATACATTTGAATCTGGTGGAACGGAGCCACTGTCCCTAAACTTCATAGATTTCATATTGGACACCAAGGGTTGGTCTATCAGACTCTTAGATGAATCATCCTTCAATATAATACCTATAACATACCTTGCTAAATTTTCACCTAGCTTGGCAGAGTGTTTACCTAGGCCTCTCATATCAATATGCTCCATGATAAATATAGATCCTTTAGAAGAGGGGTGGGGGACAACATTGACAGGGCTAGGAACCTTGATAGTATCTGTTGACTGAATGGCCTGAAGGCCTGCAAACTCACCATCAAACATTCTCTTTGCCTAAAATGTAGAGAGAAAACATATTCAAACCACATCTATCAACAAAAAATCTATTGAAGAACCAGGTTTGTTGGAACCAGGAGATAGGTAAAAAAATATTATATACCATTAATTGGTAAACTTACAACATACTTTACTCTTGTAGCAATCTCACTACTTGTTAACTGTTCCTATAAATTTAAGACAATTGACTTCTCTTTTAATGGGGGATATATTCAATTTAAAGTATATGAATATTGCAATAAATTATATTTCACATACAAAAGTCTCACCTCAGACTGAGTGTTTACTTTGAGAAAATATTTTCCTAACTCTGTTTCAAAACTTTGTCCATCACTTATACATCCTCCAGCGGTACTTCCTACACACTTCACAGTCTTCACGCCTAATTCTTTTTTGAGAATGTTCTCCATCAGCTATGACAGAAAGAAAAGAAAAACATACATAGAAATACCGTCTGTGGTAAAATGAGAGAAAAAATGATTTCACATTCAATTGTCAATCAAAAGAATTTTTCATTGATTTACGTTGAATTTACTATGAATATCCACAAATTGATTACCAATTTCAACAGTATTTTTGTGTAGATAATATTTTAATAATAATAATTTGAAGTTAATGATGCACATCCTCATCATTTGTTTACACATAGCACTTCAATGAGGGTGCACCACAATTTTTTAAAAGTGTAGAAAACAGTTGTATACTTTTACTATACTGTAGATCTAAAGGTAATGGACCATCATGGTAGGCTCACAAGTTTTGCAGAAACAGAAATAGGCAAGTAGCAGCAGTCTCAATAAGCATGAAGGTAAAAGACTTCAAGGCATCATCATCATAATGTACAACACAGTCCCTCACTCTCAGGCAAAATTCAACAAAATATGAGTTGTATTTGTATTTTTACTATATTATTTTTGTGTTTTTATCAATTATTTGTACTGTATCTCATAGCTTCTCGTTTTGCGCATTATGACAATAATGACACATATATTACTAGTAGTAGGTTAGGCCTAGGTAGCAGGTGCACAATTGGTGTGTATGTGTACTACCAGCGCCGTGACGTGTGTCCGCCGTCATCGTGTGACAGCTAGGCTAGCACTTGGCCTAGCCATAACCTAAGTAATATTTAATATGCGCTTTCTTCATTTCAAGCCAAGTAATTTGCTTTACCTTTTAAAATATTTATTTACTTTTCTGTACGTCAGGTCTGTGCTTTTTACACGATATTCCCTTTCACACGTGTGAAATCAAAACAAACTTTCTACTTTGCGGGTCATACCAAAGGTCATGTTGTGATGGTTTGCGCGTATGAGGGCGACATTTCCAATTTCTTGTTAATCAAGACAGATTTAGAGAACTAGCTGCGGCCGTTTTGCGCGATAAACGATTTTGCAGACAATATTCAAGATAAAATTATTTAGTTAAGATATTCAGCCACTGTTCTTACGGTGCACACTAGTAAATCATCATCACCGATTCCTCGTCATCATACTCATTCTCTTTCATACAGTTACAATAGCTTTATGTTCTTCATCGCATTAGCACCACCATCATAATCTTTTATTTATTTTTAATTAATAGTTTGGGCGTAGTGTATAGCTTAGATTCTTCGTCCCTGTACAATTGAAATCGGGACTTGAAAGCAACACTACCGATGTATTATTAATGTTATAAGACTAGTGTATGATGGCATCCCCATAAGGCCTATTGGCTGATCGTCATCGACGGCAGAAAAGCACAGAGTGGCAAGCGAGGCGTTTGTTATTAAAACCTTTTGTAACAGAATGTAACACTGTATAAGTTTCTTTTAATTTTAATTTAAGGGTTTAGAATTTTCACCAAACGATCTTGATTGAATATATTAATGATCAAATCTGGGCGTCTTGGTACTTTAATTGTATTGAAAGTGCATTCCAGAATAAAGAAAGATATATCAATTATTTAAACACAATCTAAAATGTGGAGATATAGTTCTTATAGATAAAAAAAAAAATACGATCAGATTGGTCAATTTTATCATAAATTGGAATGTTGTACTTGGGACATTAATATATGCAGGGTTGGTTGAAATTTAAATGAGGTATGACAAACAGTTGAATATAAACTTTAAAAAACTATAGAAAACATTTCATATTTTTCTCATTATTTGTTTTATTATATCTTATTTTTTGAAATAGAAACACACAGTAGAAATGAAAAGAATAATTAACACAAATTCAATAGTCTCTCAGTTTCTCTAGTGGGACCTCACTCGTTAAATACTTTGGTTTTGGAGAAAAATATTTCTTCTTAGGTTTTATATAGTCCAGATATTCCTGCAACACCTCCAGTTTAGAGTCGTCTTGATAATCCCAATGAATACTCAAGTTAGGAGGTAATTTTACTGACGAAAGTTCATCGAAGGTTGTGCTATCCTTGACTTCTGTTGTGTAGAATTCAATGACATTTTCAATTGTTTTCATTTTGTTGAGCAAGAAGTTTGGCACTCCATGTTTGAAAGAATTGTTACATCTAGCAAGAATCTGAAAATAAAAATGAAGAAGAATTGATAGACAATAACTAAGGCAGGAGATGTGAGAATAGGCTATTGTGACTGGATAGTTATAGTGCCCAACTTCAGTCTTAATATCCTTGGTTCAATCTCGGCACATTCCAGATTTTTCTCTCAACTTTGACAAACATAATTATCACACAATATGCCAATAGAAAATTCATTTCACACTTAATTCTGTACTAATTTAATAAATATATTTTTATCATTATAAATAGAATTTTACTAATTCTGATTAAAGAAAAAGTGTAAACATTTTCTCTCTTTATACTGACCTTAAATTTTGATAAATTATCGTCTAGTGTTTTGCTGCACCATGTATCAGCAGCGACATCTGGGCAAACATCCATTGTTATCACCTGTATTCTTTCTCTCACATCTGCTGGTGGATTGTACACTGGCTTTCTTACTTCAGGCCTTAAAAAGGTCAACACAGAAAGTAATCAGATAGACCCTGAATAATAACCCAGCAGTGTATCTAAAAGTATTGACATGTGTTGGTTGGCTGTCTCTTATACACATCTAGGGGGAGAGATGGGTGATGGGAAAATGAAAGACGTTAATCTGGGGAAATGAGGAGATATGAGTTGATTTTTAACTACAGTAATTGAGTGTCATTTTTTCTGCTCAGCTAGTTTTCAGTGGGAGAGGAAGTGCTCTTTGGGGAGAGTTCCGTGTCAATCATGCATCTTGTTCAGCACCAAACCAAATTGAAATCATTCAGTTCTTACCAGGCATCTATCCACAGCTTTTGACACCAGAACCAGACTTAAACCCTGTACAGACTATCAAATTTTATTTGACAAAAACATGTGACATGACTAAATATGGTCATGACGACATCACATCATGACCATATATAGGCACATCATGACTATATATGGGCATACAAGTTTTTTGTCAAAGGAAATGTGATAATCTGTACAGAGCTTTAAACTCACACCCCTTTGATTTGAAAAACTTAACAATAATAATCTAATTCGTTGGAATGTATTTGATTGGCTCCCATTGTTAAGCTTTGTCTACAAAGCTTAACAATGTTTGTCTTTGTCAAATTTCATCATAAAAAGCGTCATATAAAATGTGATGGAACATAGAGTTGAACACGTTCAACTTTTTTGATACAATTTGATAATATGGGCACATCACATCTTTATGCACATAAAATTTGATAGTGTAGACAAAGATTTATTCATGCCATGAATCATGTACACCTGTGTCTGCAAAAAAGAGAATATAATAACATAATAATTTACTAGAATATACACTTTTATGTTATATGCTTCAAAATTAATAACTATAAGTTAATATGTACGTTTGGATAATCTTCTCTTTAGACTCTTGTAGCACCTCCATGTAGCGTGCTTCTACTTCCACCATCTCAGTGTCTGGTTCAACATCGGCACTCGGACCACTGCCATACAAGAACTTGCTTACCCACGATTTCTCACTCTCATTGTCCATCAACTTCAATTCATTGTGATTGAAGATAGGATCTTTTTTACCAATGTCTGCTTTGCCTCTGATGAATGTTGTACACGTTAGCCCTATACAATTCTGCAATTTTGAAAAAAGAATTCAATTTGCATAATTTTTTTTAATTCTTTATTCTGAATTGTAAAATCAAAAGCATACACACAAGAATGTTTTAAAATGCTGAAAATTTTCATAGATTCCAAAGACATGAATATGAATGTTTTCATTTTAGCTATGATTATCAATGAATATTTAATTTCCTGTTTTTTTTTCTTATTTTTCAACATAAAATATTTAGACAAGGGTTTAGCTATGATTCGGGATTGAATTAGAAGGCGCCTCCTAGTAGTCTACTAGGCCCTGGGGGGGGGGGGGAATAGCTAGAGAGAGGCCTACTTTTTACACAAAATTGTACAGTAGGCCTAGTAGTAGGCCTACTTTCTATCGCTCTGATTCATCAAATCTTAAAAAAAACATAGGTCTCGCTTTTTAACACAACCACTGCCACCTAGGCCTATGTCAAACCACCAACTATGCTGGTCTGCTGCTATCGTTAGGTCCTTAGGCCTAGTACTACTAGTACTTACAGAAAATAGGTTCAATCAATGGGTCTAGGCCAGTAGTAGGCTATACATCGGTTGTTGCCCGTTGGCAGACAGAAGACGATGCGCTCCACAAAACAGAGTGGAGAGAGGCCTACTTACCTAGGCCTAGCCTAAACCATTGGTGCTACTTACTCATTTACCACATTAAAAGAAGAAGTATTCCGAAAGTTAATGGAACATATTACTGTGCATACTTACCGATCCTTTATTTGACAAAATTCCCCATAAATGATGTTTTTTAGCATACAATTGCAATGATTTACGAACAACCTCCATGCTTCTGAGCGTATTACATTTCTCCTGCTCCTGCCTAAACCATTTAGATATAATAGGTGATCAAATTTTTAATTTTGATTTAAATTATTGGAAATGAATACACAAATATAACAAGTAACATAATATTCATTAATAATTAAGTATATTTAATTTTATGCTATATTTATATATTTAAAAAAATTAAAAATAGAAAGTTTTTATTGTGATAAACTTGTATATTAATAGATTATTCCCCGTTTATGATAATAAAACATTCCACTATTATATGGCTTAGTGTAAATATGATACAATATTTATTACGAACCGTAACGATCTGAGGGTATGTTCACACATACGGCGTAAGACTGGCGTAGGTAAGCTAATCCACGGATTCCAAAGTGTTCTCAAAACAGCGTTCGCTATTATAGTATATTAACACTGGCGTTAAACTAGTAGTAATATAGGCCTAGGGGAATAGTTTTCAGTTTTAAAGCCCCATTCCCGGCAAAATTTCAATTTTTAAGAAAAATCTAATTTTTGTATAATGTTATAAAGATTTATAAATATAATACGGAATTGCTAGTTTAACTGAATTTAGACATTCCTAAGAATGAAAA